AAAGGTACCCGAGTTTTCCTTGCTGATACCCCTTTGGATCTGTCAGACCCTCAGTCCTAAGCCCATCACAGGCTCATGTGGATTGAGTTAAACTCGAGAGGACACATTCCCTTATGTCTGTACAGAGAATAAATTCACACGAAGACACAAGGTATATGAATCTCGAAAGTTACTTGCTAGGCCAATACGAAGAATAAATTCCCACGAAGAGTTACTTTCACCCATACTTAAAAAGGGTTTGGAGCTCGAGAATAAAGCCTGAGATGATTTTTTCTGAAAAAAACTGAAATCATTAGAAAATCATCAATGCAACTATTTATTTGAAAATAATAATAATAAAAGGTAAATAGCAAGGATCGAAAGGATAAATTATAATGTAAACTTACAATTTTCGCGTAAGAAGACAACCGGAAATCAATTTTGGCCTGACTCACTTACCTTCAAAAGCAGAGTCGCCAAACTGTCGTAATCGTCCTTCGAGTGGTCCCGAAATCGGGTTCCGACTTAAATTTAGTGTGTTGGAGTCGCCACCAATCATTTTAATTTGATCAATCGGATACCATAACTTACCGTTATATGATCTATAATTTATCAAAAATTTGTCGGATTCGGGAGTCGATTACAGTCAGGGAAGGATTAACACTCCTGTACTGTCCTTTCGGTACCAATTTGATTTCCTGATTGTCTTTATTGTGAAAATTAAAAGTTAAATTAAAATTTAAAAGTTCGATCTGAATTACTTACCTTTGACCAAATAAAATTGTTCTAGAAAAACAAATTAATGTTAAATAATAAAATAAAATAAAATAAAAATATTAAATATTAAATATTAAATTAAAAGAAATATTAAAGAAGGATTAAATTGGAAAACATTTGAAATTAAGGGTCAAATTGTAGTTAATTAGAAGCTATTTTCGTCGATGCTCTTCAACTTTCGGTGACAGCTCCTCTTCTAAGCCACGATCGAAGCTGGTCTTTTGCTTTTTGTGTTTTTTTTTTGCGTTTTTGAAAGATGTTTTTTTGCTCGGTTTTTGCTATGTTTCGATGCTTGTTTTGTTGGTATTTTTGGTGTTATATGATGTTTTTTGCTGCGTTATTCGATGGTTTTTGTTGTGCTTCCCCTTGTGTTTTGATGGCTTGGTCGGAGGTTTTTTATAGCATGGAATCCGGTCGTTGTAGCTCCGAAAAGAGCGAGATTTCCGTCCAATTCCTTCGCTGGACATCAGGTCGAGTGCCGTTCGTACGAGTTGTTACCCCTATCATGCGATTTTCCAGCCATATCTTGGTCCCTCCGTGCGGTGTCTTTGACATTTTAGGGTTTACATAACTATAACGCACTATTGGGCTTATTGGGCTAGGTCAGGCCTACCCTTAATCGAACTTGCTTGTTGGGTCAAGTATGCTTGCTCGGTTGGGCTGCACTCTAAACTATATGGACTTGGACCTTACCCTCATTTTGAACCTGGAATAATTAAACAAATAAAATAATAATAAAGTAATATAATAAATATAAAATAATGTATAATATATAATATAATAAATAATACGTACACTATATTTATTTAAAAACTATATAATGTATATTATATTTTCAAAAACTATAATATGTTTTCAAAAATTATATATATTTATACGTTTTCAAAAATCATTTTAAAAGCTATATATATATATATATATATATTCAAAAGCTATATTATATATGTTTTCAAAAAAAACCATTTTAAAAAACTATATATTATATGTTTTCAAAAAAAATATATATTATATATATTTGAAATTATTATATATATTATCATATATATTATATAATGTAATAAAAATCCTTGAAGTCCAGGACGAAAATAAGTTTCTACACAGACAACCAAAATTTTTTATGAGAGATAAATTTGGAGACTTATGAAACGTGGCCATAAAAGGACTTCTTCAATTCAAGACAGAAGAAAGAAGACAATTAATAATATAGAATGCTATCTTGACACACTCCCAGAAAACTTAACAGGAATTTTATAATGAAATCTAAGGGCACAAGCAACCTCTAGAAGGTATTTATGTTTTCTTTCTGTCACTTCATTTTGTTATGGAGAATGAATACGAACTTTGATTTATGATACCAAGGGAAGCAAACAAAGGTGAACATGAGCAATTAAAAAACTTGGAGCCATTATCACTTCTAAGGATCTTAACAGTGGTTGGGAATTGATTTTGAACAAAGGAAAGAAATTAAGAGAACAATATCACTCTTAAGTCACATCAAATACACCTAACACATACATGTATGATCATCAACTATTGTCAAAAAATCGATGTCCACTATGCGTAGATGTCTTATGGGGTTTATACAGATCTATATGTATCAGTTGAAAAGACATAAAACTCCTAGTAGTACTAAGAGGGAAAGGCAGCCCAGATTGCTTGGCTGAAGGACACACATGACACTCATGTAGGCAATCAATTTGTAATTTAACAGGTTGTAAGTAGTGAATACTATTCAGGCTAGCAATGGTGGCATGCCCAAGACGAGCATGCCAGACTTTTGTATTATTATCAACAATAGCAACAAACATGACAAAATGATTAAAATCATCAAACAAAGATGCTGGTTCAACAGCTCAGCACTAATAACAGATGAGACAAGATTACATTGAAACGAAGAAATCAAACTAGAATCACAACTACAAGAATCAAGGTAGTACATCCCTTGTGATTTTTTTACCAATCTCCCTCGACTTTCCGTTTGAGATGTCCTACAGAACACAATAATGAGGATAAAAAACAACAGTGCAGTTAAGATCTTAACTTCGAAACTGAAAGAAGGTTATGAGTAAAGTGAGGGACATGATGAACATTTGTAACGCAGGTATGGGAATTGAAAAAATAAGAACCAACGTGTGTGATAGGGGTTGTCTGACCAGTGGGCAAATAAACCATCTTGGATTCTGAAGCACATGAAACATGAGATACTAAGTTCTTAAAATTGAATAACATGTGATCTGTAGCTCCCGAGTCCAAAATCTATAAAACAAAATTATAAGGAGCAAGTAAACATATAGTAACCATACCTGCTGAATCGGTATTTGCCCCAACCAGAAGAGCCTTGTGAAGAAAACTCAGAAGCTGCTGATACTGCTCTTGAGTAAAAACGGGACACAACTACTGGATTCAAGAGTCTGGATTCGAAGTGGACCCTTCCACCACATTGGAATTGACAACCATTGCAGCCTGAGACTCTTTCTTTTTGGTGAATTTGAAGTCGGAGGGAGACCAACAAGGTTATAACAATTCTTCTTTTTGCGACCTTGAATATTACAATGGCCACACATGCTAGTGAATCTGCGTCGATTACTGCTATTGGAGATATTTGAATACGTAGCAGAGACCTCAGTATGTGGCTGACTACTTGAAAGACAAAAAGGCCTAAATGGAAAAAAAAAATCTATAACTCTCGATGCCATGTTGAAAAGAATTTTAAAGCATACGCCAATTTCATATCATCCAAAATTGTACAAATGTTCTCTTATATACAAGCCGAAAGTTATAACTATCACTGCCAACAAACTAACAACTATCTAACCATTATAACAGATTAGTTATACATTTTCAACAATTAGATCCCTAGTAATTTTCTTTTACTCTATTTTGATCCAAATTTGAGGATCAAGATATAATAAATTTATTTGAAGTAATAATGAAGAAAGGTAGCAGGCGGTGCTTTGAATTAGTGGAACGTGGCAAGAGTGACCCGTGAATCACTTTAGGGTTAGCTTTTGTGTAAGTGGCATCAAATAATAGCGAAGCTGTATGTCTTCTTCGACTTCTATAGCTTCACGTGCAGAGCTTAGCACACGCTCAACACCAACCGGACTAGACAACCATTCTTTCTTTGTTTTTCAGCTAAACCTTGTCTCTTTATTGCAACTCGTTCTACAATTTTTCCATTTTCATTACTTCCCTGCCCCGTCACGTGCAAACCCATCCTTCTATTTCTAAAAAAAATAATAAATCTTTATTTTTATATTCATATAATCCTAAATGAAAAATAACTTATTTATAATGAAGTATTTTTATACATAAAATATTTTCTTTAGATTACAATTGAAATAACGCATTAAATTAGATTTTTTTTCTTATCTGATATTTTATCAGTTAAAGGTTTTACTTTTACCTAATCTGTAAAAAAATAGCTAACATCTAACTCTACTAAGGGGGCGTTTGGATACGGGAATGTGAGTTCCCATGAGAATGAAATCTATATTCTCCGTTTGGTTAGCCCGAGAATCTCATTCCCGGTAATATAAGATTACCAATAGTGAATTTTTTGAGGTATATTACTGAGAATGTCATTACCTATATTTCCTTAGGTATTGTTGGATTACCGACGTTTTGGACTAAAATGTCTTTAAATTTTTTTTCTTTAAAAAATATATGTATTCTGTCATTGAATAATAAAAATTCTACGAATGTTAAATTATAAATTTATCCTTAAACTATTTTAGATTTACAAAAAAAATCTATAATTAAAATTTTATATAAAGTTTAAGGGTTAAAATAAAATTTTACCCTTTCATTAAACCTTTTTATATTTTCAATTTTATAAAAAAAATTATATAAATTTTATGAATTTAATTTTTTTAAAAGAAAATATATAAATATTTTTCAACTTGTTAAAAAAATGAATATATAATAAGGATAATTTGGTTAAATATACATTTTAATAATATTTTATTCCTTAAATTAAATACGGTAATCTTTCATTCCTGCTAAGCTAACCAAACACAAAATATAATATTCCTAGTAATTCTATTCCCCGATAAATATTACATTCCTACTGATAATCTTACATTTCGTGAAATAAACATACCTTAAATACAAGAATCCAGATAGGGAAAACGGAAAAGGGCATTTACGTCAAAATAGAAAAAGGAAAGAGGTAGGGAGAGGATTTGTCGTCGTCGTCCTCGAAGTCGTAATCTCAAGTCTTTTTATCTGGCAAATTGCGCCATCTATGCCTCCCTTCTCCGATGTAGACTTTTAACGTTCATATTTTTCTTCGCTTTTTTTTGAAGTTTTATATGAAAAATACAGTTATGAAAATACCGAGCAACTTATAAGTTATATCAAAGGTGTTTTTGAAATATTCTGAGATTTGCTCAGCACTATTTTCTCTCGCTCTTTGCTTTTCTTCTTCTTCTGCAATGGCAGCTAAATCGACCAAAGAGGTGAAAGTTGTTTAGTTTCATTTATTTTGAATTTGAAGCATTTTATTATTTTCTGTTTCTCTGATGGAATTCGAGCTGATTTTGGAAATAAAGCTTCTATTTTTGGATTGAGTGTTAAGCAAGTTCCTTTTTTTAACGAGTGTTTACTAGATTTGCCGCTTGAGAAAATGTGGGGGGGGGGGAGACGAAGGACTTTGTATTTTACACTTCAATTTGTCTTTGGAATCGAAGGGAATTGCGTTTCATTTTTATAGAATATGATTAACTGAAATTTCATGGTCTTTCTGATCAAGTCTACTTTCCGTTGCTATTTCAGTTTTTTTTCTAAAAAAAAAAATCCTGTTAGGTAGCTGAAAAAAATGTAGAATAAGGAAGACATTCACTTGTATTTTCTTGTATGGATATGATGAACTTTCTTGCATTGCCTACTTCCTATTTCTGGTTCTCTTTATGTGGATTTCTTCTCTTCACATCAAACAAGGAAAACTTCTTTTAATATAATTTCTTCATTTCTACAACTTGGGTTCCTCTACATTTAACTGTAAGATGTCAGCCATTTGAATCTGTAAGTAGATAGAAAATCAGCGTTGACTTAGAAAAAAATTCTAGATAATATCTCTCTCACGTTTGACTTCACTCTCAATTTTGCTTTTAGTGACTAGTAAGTAACGGAACCTGAAAACAAGGAGAAAAAGAAAACTGATCCTTCTTTGTTCTGTAATCCGTGTTCTCTTTGCAATGCTTTGTTTTAACTCGTGATTAATTACAGGAAAAACCATTCTTATCTGGGATGGTGGATGAAAGCACCAGGTTACCGGTTGACATTTCATGCTTTGAGTTGATTAAACCTGGATTTGATGAGACAAACCAGCATTGTTCTCTCGGTAAGGATATTCGCCTTAGATAGATTATTGTTTTATATTGCTCTAGTTCTTCCTTTTGTTTTTGAAGCAGTTGATGTTAAACACTTATGTCCGATGTATATCGGACATGGATACCGGGATAGAGCCCTCCAAGGATCCTCTAAATACAAGAAAAAAGCTTTTAAAAGTTGAACATACCCATGCTGGAGGCATACTTTTATCCAACCATCCTATTCCGAGGAACATAAGTTTAATCATACTTTGAATAGAATGTTTAATAAGTTCCTTGAAATTTCAGATGTATTGCCTATTCTAATAGAGGAGACTTCATTTCCGGTAGGAGAAAAATGCAGCATAAACACTTCACACGTAAGTTCATTTTCTGTACTCCTTTTCAATCTTTCAATCATCTTGGTCTAATGAGGATTTTTTACAACTTCACTTTCTGGATTAATCTTATCATATATTTGCTTTATAGCAGCTTGCAATGCTGTTGATGTAAATTCAGGTTGTAATCTAATAGTACTAGATTTGCTTTAATCCACCACCTTGACGGAAATGTTAGTTACACGTTTATATCTCCCAAGCAAGCTTAAAACCTGTTGTCGGCTATCTAATCTTGTGATAATTAATATAGAAGGGTATTTTTTTTTCTAGTAAATGTAATTCAGATAAAGAAGTACACAAGTGCCGGTCCATTGAGATGACCTCATGATGGACCAGGTTTTAAGTACTTAAGTTCCTGTTGTGTCCTATGATTTAGTGCTTAAGTTTGAATGGGTTTTTTTCTTGTCTCATAATTTCCCATTTGGCTGTTATTTTTGTTAGTGTAGATTCTATGATTTCTAACCAATATTTGTTATCCCAGCAATCTTTGTTTAAAAGTTGGTTCAAACTTTTATGATCTTTTAAAATGAGAATTTGGAAACCACTTGAGCCGTTTTTTCTCAAAATTTTTTCTATGTGCCTATATATTTTCCATTCCTCACGCAGGGCCAAGATGTCTATAGCATTTCTCTGTTGCCTGAGGAAGGAAACACGAGTCCAAATTGTACACCACAGTTATCCGTTTTGAGCCTCCTAGAAGTTCCCTTTTCATCGAAAAACCAGATGTTTTTGGATGCACCGCTGAGTTACCAGAACTGCATTGACTTGAAAGTGAATGGTGGAGGTGGATACTCATCCTGCATTCTGGATATAAACATCGAGAAAGAGAATCTTGACACGCTTAAATCCAGTGATGAAACCGTTGGAAATTTAAAAAGTGAAGGCGTAGTGACAGTAAGTTTGATCTAGCTGTCTATATAGATCAGACATATTCAGTAAAACGTAGATCATACGTACTGTGTCGGACATACCAAATTTGTTTATTTAATCATCAGAGTGTTGTTGATTTTCCTTCCTTTAGGTTTTGGTACATTGTTTCTTCTTCACTCATGACTCTAATGTTAGATCTCAATGAATTACAGCATTTACAGAAGGTGTTTCAGAGACAAGCAAGCTTAACTCTAGGTGCGTTTTAACTTGGCTTTGAATTTTAACGGGCTCAACTGTAAGTAACTTACTGTGAGATGCCTGTAAGCATATTCTATTACCTCTATATAACAATATTTTCCATGATTCAGTCATGATTGCATTCTTTTTCACAAGCTATGGTTGGCAGCTTCCTGTAAATAGAAACAAGAAAAATAGAATATTCTGCTAGTGTCCGAGCTGTTATAAAACGCTTAAGGTTTACAATGTTTTATGCATACATTTGATGTGGTGGTTTGACATCTAAGCTTGCACTTTTAACAAAATTGAATGAGATTTGTACATAAGTTGAAAAACATGTTCATCTTCTTCTGGTTCCTGCTCCAGGCTTAAACATTCACCGTCGAGAAGGTTTGAGTCGACAAAAGAACTTCATTTGACATGTATAATTTCAGTGAACTAACAATCTAGAATGAATGAACTGCAATTAGCCAGTGAACAGGTCCTTGATTGATACTTGATCATCAAAGGGCTTTGAAGCTATTAAAGATTTGAACTATATGATTATTGTTCCTAATCAGTAAATCTGATTTTTCATATGTGATTTTTGTAATTATTTCACAATAACCTGCTACCTGTTCTATGCAGTATTTTATGTATTACATCTAGGAACTATCTAGTTCCTTTTGGTTACGCGTTTGCTTCTTATTAACTCCATGGGCTATACCTTAGAGCATGCAGAAATTTGTTATACGACTTAAACCGAGTTTTATTTTGACAGACAAATCATCAACGGATAGGGTTAATGATGCACCTACGAACAGGTGGAGGAGATATAAGCGAGCTGCGTCATTTGACTCGAGGAAAGTAGTCCTCCTTTTCTCAATCTTGTAAGCTCTGCAATTCCTGGCAACATTTTTTTTTTCATTAAGATAAAACATTTCAGTAATAAGTAGTAAAGATTACTTCAACTAAATATCGTATTTAATAACTAAGAATTCTAGCAAAAATAGAACTCATCGGTGCAAGTCATGGAAATCTAAAATTTAATAATTAATCTGGAAATAAAAAATAGTCAAAACATTGTGTTATTTTCCAAGATTTAGTTTATTTCCTCTCATTTTCTACTCATCAAGTAGGGATGGCAAACAAGTACAATTTTGTTGGTTTTGCACCGTACCCGCTTCAGTTGGGGTGGGGATGGGTATAAGTTTAGTGGAAGGTGTAGATGTAAAATGTCATACCCGCCGTGGGTAATGGGTAAGTGATGGGTTTGAGACTTTACCCGCCCTACATTCACTCGACCACTAACTACTCACCATATAAATTTTAGACCATTATGAATTTAGATATAACTTTAGAGACTATTATGCAAATATTAAGATTTTATAGGACATGATTTGTAATTTAACCTAATGTTAGGGTATAAATATGTTTAGAATTGAAGATCGTTGTCCTATCTCAAATTGACAGGTATGGACATGTCGGTATCCACTTGGGTAGTAGGGGTGGAGGTGGATTTGAGAATGTATAAAAATTTTACCCATCGTAGGTTGTGAGTAGGTGGTGGATATGAAAATATTATGTGAGTATGGGGATGGGGAAGGAGAATCCGCACCCGCCCTCACACTTTTGCCATCCCTCCTACCAAGTAATGAATGGAAAGAAAATGAGGGGTGATTCTTTTTTTTTTCTCCTCTTATTGTTTCTTCTTTGGTTCAGGTCAAGTATGGGGACATTGATATTGATTTATCTGACGCTGAGAGTTAGGCAAAGTATCGATGGGTACAACCATGCCTAGCGCCTTCGTATTCGTCTCCTTCAAACCCATACTCATTTTCTTTTTTTTGAAATTTCTTGAGAACTATCGTGTCATTAAGAACTACTGTTTTAAGTTTAGCTTTTCAGTGTCTATACATATACATATACACCTTTTCTTTTCTTGTAAATATGGAATAGTGGTGATTCAGCAATGCAGCATCTTTAATCACTGTCAATATTCGGTGTCCGAAACCATAACAAGCGTATGAACTGCTTCACGAATATTAAATGAATTATGCTCGTGATCTCAAGTAAATTTTCTTGATGTTTTAAGCGACAAAAAATGGGTATTTTCACGAGCATAGACCTTGAATGAAATTAAAAGCATATTTAAAATTATTTATTTTGATTAGCGAATAATAATTAAACATGTTTACAATTTATTTGTTAATGTTCTATTCTTCTGTAGATGATACTTCCCTCGAGGAACAAAAGTTATTTTTAAGAGTAATATTTTCATTTCATCTTCGTATGTAATATAAACAGTTTAATTGAAGAATCATCTTGAGCATTAAAGATCTCAAATATCAAATCTCAATAACAGAGAAACTGGCTATCCTAAAAGGCTAGAATGTAATTTTCTGAGCGAAATAAAATGCTGGAAAAATATAATTGAACTCTGGTTACTGCGTTTAGAGATGCACATAGCCGGATTTAAATCCGATTCGGATCGGATAAAAACCGATCCGGTTTTTTCACTAAGCCAAAAAATCGGTTTAAAAAAAACCGGTTCGGATCATAACCGGTTTGGAGGGCCGGATGATGTAACCGGTTTCGGTTTGAAAAAAATCGGTTTTTTTTAAAAAAAACCAGTTTTTAATCCGGTAAAAAATCCGGTCGTCCAATTTTTTCTCAAACCGGTTATACTATCCGGTTTTAAAATATCCGATCCGATTTAAAAAAAACCGGTTTTTCCCAAATCCGGTTTCGGATATTTTTTACACAAAATCGGATATTCGGATTTTTTTTTTCACCTCTAACTGCGTTTCATGGAATAAAAGTACCAACTACAATGAAAATAACAATTAAAAGATATCAAAAACAATCTACACTAAGATAAAAATCAAAGACTAGATCCCTGAAATAGTTAAGAAAAATGGACTGTAAATTTGCAGAGCAAAACAATGGATTTTGTTATGGAAAATTTTGTTTACCTTATATTTGGTGGTTGAAGAAAACAATGCATGAATGCTTTTTATTTTTTTTTACTACACATTCGTCTTTAACATGGACAACCACCTCCTTGCTGCTCCGTTTGGGAAGAATTGGCGGTGGATTTCAAGTTCACATCAACCATGTCTTCTTGTTTTGTTGAAGAAAGAGTTTCCATCCCCGGTAAGGCAGCCGCGATCTTGCGGAATAGAGGCTGCAATTTCAGATTAATAGTAATAAATATGATTACTACAAAGTCATCTGCTTTGGAGTAGCCGAGGTGATCAACGCGGCCTGAGTTTCTACGTGAGACTCTAATTATTTGGACAGGGACGCTCATACTTTTGATTAATTGTTCATCAGCTTCTAACTAAAACAGGACATGTTGTATCATTAATTTGGACAAATCGGTGCTAATTAGTTCGACAAATTGCTTGCAAGTATGGATCAAAATTTTATGTTCATAGATTAAACGAACAAGTTAACGTAAGTCTTGTTCATTCACAATCCTAAATAATAGTACTCTCTCTCACTTAGTTTTACTTTAAGACTTTATAATATAACCATCAGTCTACCAATCAATGTTGTTTTCTATTCTTACCTTGATATTGAATCCTGCTTTTGCACTGGTTTCTATAAACATAACTTCAAGTTCCTTAGCTTTGTTATCTCCTTCCTCTATAGAAACCTGCCTGTTCAAGCACCAAAGTGGATAAATGAAAATAACATCAATATTATGTTTGGTTGATTAAAAATGTAAATAAAAGAAAATAGGAGAAAAGAAAAATAAATTATAAATGTAATTTGTAGCAAAAAAAGAGAAGAAAGTTAATTGTCCAAATCATCACTAACCTCTTATCAACTAGATCAGTTTTGTTGCCAACAAGGACAATAATGACATCGCTGCCTCGTTCCGTACGTACCTCCTCAACCCACTTAGAAGTATTCAAAAACGATTGCCTATCTGCAATGAAAAAACTGTGGTTAACATATATACCAATATAGTTTATCATCTGATGAAATCAAAAAGGAGAAAAAAGGACGGTTAAGCTCATACTCACTAGCTACATCATAGACTATTACTGCGACAGAAGAATCTCTGATATAACTTGGAATAAGACTCCTAAACCTCTCCTGTCCAGCAGTATCCCTGTGCAGTTGAAAACTTCAAGAGTATGTTAATCGTCCAAACTAAGAAATTTAGATGCAACTTGCATGTCATGCTATACTCAATTGCAAAACAACACTTTGGCATTGATCGCTTTTGATAGTTTATCATAAGAGGATAAAGTACACATCAGAATGAATCAGTTTCGATTTCTAAAAGTTACCAACCGCATGAGGAGGAAATGCTGCAGGAGATTCAACTAGCAGAAATGGTTTCTTTGTAAAGCTCCATCACTTACAACGAAATAAAACTGCCTTGTAACAGAAGTAAGCTTTTGTAGTCTAAAATTTAAGCTATCAACACCTTAATTTCACTAGAAATATGCTTGATTGCTTGTTTATTGAACATTCAACAGCAATGGATCCAGAGTTAATAAAGAAAACAATGAAAATAGGTATCTGATATCTATATTGTTGAATATAGAGATAATAAAGGAAGAAACTATATTACCAAAGCTGCAAACGAACCGTTCGATCTTCAAGATACATTGTTTTTGACAAAAAATCAATTCCAATGGTGGCCTGCATTTATATAGCAATTATTTAAGAAGATGCACGTATAAATATCCCTTTAATTCCAGTATTCATTAAACTACAAAATCTTACAGGAAAGAAATCTAAACTGATTATTTAAAAAAGGAAAAAAAAGGAGATCTGCTTTAGGATTTTATGGAAAATTGAACAGTTCTTTTGTACATTTCAAATCAAGCATTTTGTAAATAAGGACCATTAACAACAAAACAAACAAAGACGACGTCAAGACCGTTGATTAAGATTCGAAATCAATATTGAACAGAGAGATCAATAAGTCATATACGGAAATTAAATCAAATTCATAATATTTTTTAATAGAAATCAAATTCATAACAACATAAGAAAATAGAGGACTTAGAGAAATAGTCAAAACTCAAACGCTCATTGAATCTGCATTAATCAACGTCAAATGTTAAAAAAATAACGGAAAATTCACCTGGTAAGTGGTGTCGAATTTATCGTACATGAAGCGTGTGATGATGCTGGTTTTGCCTGCGGATTGATCGCCTAAGAACACCAGTTTGTATTTCGCCAGTGGGGACACTGTCGCCATTTTTCCAATTTCTCCTCTCTATTTTTGATTGAAAAAAGAGAGTTTCAGATCTGAATCCCTAATGAAATAAATTCAGATTATGTTTAAAAATATTCTCATTACTATTATTATTTTGATTGAAATGTATTTTCAGAGTGACAGAAGAAAATTTAAAGGAACGCTTTGAGTTTAATTCCATTTATATAGGGTGCACCAGAAACCGCCAAATAAGACGAGGCCGGCTAAGTGAAAATCTTTGAACCGGTTATCATTTTCCAATTTTACTCTTTTTTTCCCGATGAACATCACAGTTTTTATAGACTTTTTTTTATCGAAATATCTCTAAAATAAAAATTAATATTAAAAATAATATTTTTAGAATAATTTTTGAAGTGATTTTTTTATCACGTAAGATAAAGATGTGTTACGTGAAAACGTCTTTAAAAGCGTACCTCATTAGACACGTCTTCTATCTACGTAGAGACAACTGGGAACAAATTAAACTAAAATAAAAAAATGAAAAATAATAAAAATTTTGTCAAAAAGAATAAATACTTGATGTGCATTTCGAAGACACAATCCCACTAACATGAACAAGAACATGAATCGAGCTTGACAAGAGCAACGGTGTATATATATATACCTTATCTTTAATCACAAATAAATATATGTTTAAAAAGTTGTATTTAAACACTCAAAACATTTTATATCTATACAAGATTTCACAGTTAAATTAGGCAAATATTGCATGTGAAATAATTAATTAATAAAATAGGGTATTTTCAAATTTATTTTGAAATCTAGGTCATTTGTTGCAGTGCACGTGAAACTCGTCACATGGAAGTAACGAGTTCCATAAAATGTATTAACAATAGAACTCATCGTATGAAATTAATCACATTATATGGAATTCGTCACCTCCAAACTTGTCACTTCCATGTCACTAAGTTTTATGTACACTATAACAAATAGTCTAGATCTCAAAATAATTCTCAACCGTCCCCATTTTCCAAAAAAAAAATCACCTATATTATTTCCCTAATTTTGCCAGATTTCACACTAATAATTTTTAAAAAATAGGTTAATAACTGTATATTTTATATATTTTAGTCACATTATACAATTTAGTGTGCGTAGGAAAAGTACCTTATAACAAATGTCACAGAAGTCATCTGCCCTAATTTTCATGCAAGTGGAGGAAATTAACAAGCAGACTGCCTTGTTTTTATTTCCAAATTCCCATGTTTATATTACGATACAATCACTGTCTAATGTTGGCCTTTCTGGTTTATTCTTCTCTTCTAAGGATGCACATGGATTTCAACTCATTCTCCACTATCATACGATTTTGTCAACTTTTCCCGTGTTCACAAGGTAACAGCAGCTCCAAGTGTAACCCTTCATTTTCTTAGCAATGAAGCTATATAAATATATAATTAAGGCAGGAAGAATAAACAGGAAAGATTTTTGCAGAATATATGCAACAGAGATATAGAGCCCTATCAGGACTAGAGAATGTAATGACCAAAATGACACAACTACAAAATTACTGTTCTTATCAGCAGCAAGAGCACTGGCGGATTCATTAAGGACACATTGAAGTTCTAATTTTTTCGAATAATTACATATTTTAATAGTCATGTCTACTCTAAAATTCTAGTTGCACCCACTATATATATAAAATTTATACAATTAATATATAGTATGTTCACTAAAAAAAATATTTTTGATTTCGTCGCTAAGATTCAACACAACCGGAAGAATATGTAACAGGTTGGAGTTTTAATAGGAATAAGGTAAATTATTCTTCCACTTTGATGTCAGAAAATACTGATAGTGGAGATGGACATCACCAACAGCTTTATACCCAGCTTCAGTCGTGGATAACCAGTAACATAATCTTTTAGCAATAAGAATCTCGTAACTAATATTCTAAATTTATTTGTATAGTTAAATATTTAAATTATAACATTATGGATATACTAAATTATAATTATAAAAAGCAATCAGATATCTCATGTAAAGTTAAATTTCAATATCTATAATTCTTTCAATTTTCGTCGACGCTCAAACAATGACAATGTTTTCTTGTTATCTTTTCACTTGTAATTATTTAAAAGACCCACGTTGTATTAAAGCAACATTATCTTCAAACCGACAAAGATGGACACACTTTCCCTTTAAAATGAAGCAGAGTTTCAACTTAAATGTGTCTGAGACTCCACTAGCCGACCTGCTTTTCAGATTCTTCCACCTCTCGAGAAAGTTAATCTTTTTTGGTTTAATGGTATATAAGACCTTTAATTTTTTTTTCAAAGAAATTATTAATTATTTTACATTTAACGTAGCCCTTAAAATTGAGAAAAGAAAAAAACCAAAGGAAAGTTTTGTATTCAGTCATCTAATTATTGTAGTAGTTTCATTTTAATCACTCAATTATTTTTTATTCTATTTCATACATAAACTTACATTTTTTTTTCTATTATCCATTGTTAGAAAATAAACAGAACTATTATACTTCTCAATTCTGAGATTGGCCACTTTTAGCATTGATGGTGGAAAACACCAATTTACTCTTATTACGAGCTTTATTGAGCAAAGGTCAGCACGGGTTAAAGGAAAGAGTAGAGCCATAGAGGAATGGATTCTTTAATGGAGTATTATTTTGATGGAGTCCATGAAAAATCCACATCGAAATGAAGTGTTATTTATTTATTACATCAAATCAATAATTCGTTAATGATTTAATGGCATCTATCCTTCAATTACCATATTTAAATTAAAAGAAAACTAAAATGACATTTTTTTAAATTTGATGAAAAATATATAAATATTAAATAAAAGTGTCCGATCATGTAGTTTACCAAATTTATTTATAAAATAGAGGTGGATGTCATAATTGGTGGGTTCTACATTGGGGGACACGGACGACTGTTTTAGTTAACATGGAGTCATGGCCAACTGCCTTAGCCTCGCGAAATTTTGTTTTAATATACGAATAATAAAAGATATTATTAAAAATATTTATTTTAATATTTTTGATGAAAAATTATTTAAAAAATTATTATTTTTATCTAAAACATTAATATTTTTTAATATTTCTAATAAAATATCTAATATTAATATTTTCAATAGAAAAATTATATTTTAAGTTATGCTTTATCATATATGTTAATAAATCCGATAAAATACTCAATAATAATATTTTTAATAAAATTAATAATATTTTAAATAAATTTTTACTAAAATATTAAAAAAATAATAAAATTTTCAATAATTCTCTTTATATTAAAGAGTCGTCGTACGTGAGACTTTCCCTTAACCTCCTTTTTTTCCCTCATGGCAAACCCTCTCTAACCTGTTGACAACGTGACCCCATGTCAATCCAAACGGTCTAATCTCTTATTATCCCTCTACAGCTCACCCAAATATCTTCAGTTAAACAAAGGAAAAACCTTTCTTTTATTGACCATTTAAGAAAGAGAGAGAAAAGAGTAATTTGGTCTACTTTCATCCCGCCATCCACCGTTGGTTTGTCCCCCCAAAAGATGAAACCTCTCTTTCGTTGCCTATTCTTTCTCCAACTGGTCACCATGGCCGTTGCCGTACAACCTCTCCGCCCGGGGTTCTACTCCGAAACGTGTCCGCCGGCGGAATTCATAGTCAGAGATGTGATGAGGAAAGCCTTGATTAGGGAACCACGAAGCGTTGCCTCTGTCATGCGCCTTCAATTCCACGACTGCTTCGTTAATGTATTCTTGAGGAAAAAAAACATGCCCTTTTTCTGTTGTTACTTTGGTCATGGTTTTTGTTATTCTTTTTTCAGGGTTGTGATGGTTCTGTGCTGCTAGATGATACCCCGGACATGCTTGGGGAAAAGCTAGCTCTTTCCAATATAAACTCGCTAAGATCTTTCGAAGTCGTCGATGAAGCCAAGGAAGCTTTGGAAGCTGCTTGCCCTGGAATCGTTTCTTGTGCTGATATCGTAGTCTTAGCCGCTAGAGATGCAGTTGCTCTGGTACTATTTCCTTCTAATTTTCAAGCAATGAATTCTAGTTCCTTTGTTAAAAAAATGGTTTTGAAGTGAGGCTCTGCTTTATAATGATCAGACTGGAGGACCCGATTGGGAAGTTAGGTTGGGAAGAAAAGATTGCTTAACAGCCAGTCAAGAAGACTCGGACAATATAATGCCAAGTCCAAGAGCAGATGCGACTTCTTTGATCACACTGTTCAGCCAATTCAATCTATCGGTCAAGGACCTTATTGCCCTCTCTGGGTCACACTCCATAGGTGAAGCCAGGTGCTTTTCGATCATGTTCAGGCTCTACAACCAATCCGGGTCCGGCAAACCTGACCCTGCCATCGAACCAGGATTCAGAGAAAAACTGGACCAGCTGTGCCCAATCGGTGGAGACGAGAATGTAACCGGGCCACTGGATGCAACCCCTACAATGTTTGACAACCAGTACTTCAAGGACTTGGTAGCAGGAAAAGGGTTTCTGAATTCGGATCAAACGCTTTTCACATCTCCTCGGACTAGACCATATGTTAGGCTCTTTAGCAAAGACCAAGATAAATTCTTCAAGGCTTTCGTTGAGGGAATGTTGAAGATGGGTGATTTGCAGATTGAGCAGCCTGTTGAGGTAAGAACCAATTGCAGGGTGGCCAATAGTCGATCTGTGGATGTATTAATGGAATCTTGAAGGCACTGATGTGGTAGAGTTCTTAGAATTAAGAATATATCTACGTCTGTATGTATATGTATCTATATGTATGGAAAAGGTTAAGAGCATTAAGCAAAGAGATCTCACATATTATTTTTCATAACTGAGATGCTTGGAATCTTTGAGAGAATTAAAGACAAGGAAATAGTGAATTATGCAAACATGAAAACGATTTAAGGCCAAAATGACTGCCAACACTTGGCTCAATGAAATGTCATTTTCTGAATAGCCTACACGAAATCGCGAGGACAAATTTGTTAATGTACTTAAAACAATAAAGCAGAAGGTGTTGAAGTCTGTAGCGTCAGAAGTATAGGATATAATAGAAAGGTAAGGACAACTGGAACTTGAAAGCACCATGGAAAATTTGGCGATTTTATTAAAAAATCCAAAAATTCATTTATTAGAAAATAACCTCAAGCAGAAATTATTTGGAAAAATACATTTATATTTCTCACGTAGGACTATCTCGTGTCCTACAAACGCGTATAAAGACCTATTTTATAAAATATGAGACTCGATCGATGTGGAAACACTTTTTAAAGAACACAATTTAATATTAGGATAAAGGACCTCACGTTCTGCATACAGTAAGATCTTCAAGAAATTGAATATATCGCGGGTAGTATTTAACAAACCTCGAGTCCTAAAGAAAATGAGGTATGTGCATTTTCAGCACGCATTGCAAGTGTTTATAGGCATGTTCAAGAGGTATTTTAGGCTAGTTAATTTAAAAAATTTCGTAACTTATGAGATTAGAGGTGTAGTATTGGAATTTATCTTTTAGTTAAGGTCAATATCGACACATACTAGATATTGTAAGTGGGTTCAAAATCGCGTTGAAAAATGTTTCAAAGCTGGTTTTGTGCATGAAGAAAAAGCTAAAATGGTTTGATAGGCATATTCGAGAGGGTTTTCGGGTAGTTAATTTGAAAATTTTCGTAATTTATAAGATTACAGGCGTAGTATTGTAACTTATCTTTCAACTGTAAGTAATATCGACACATAAGAGACATTATAAGCAGGTTAAAAATCACGTTGAAAATGGTTTCAAAACTTAATTTTGTGCGTTAAACAGAAGCTAAAATGGTTTGATATGCATATTCAATGAGTATTTTCGAGAAGTTAATCTAAATTTTTTCGTAATTTATAAGATTAAAGGCGTGGTATTAGTACTTATGTTTCAATTGAGGCTAGTATTGGCACATACGAGACATTGTAAACGGTGTAAAAATTGATTTTAAAATGGTTCAAAACCAAAAGAAATTGAAAACCAACGAATATATTTTGTTAATTACACAAGTAACACAATGAAAAAGCACAATTAATCGATACGAGGACGTGACCGATTATGACATTTGTTCTTCATGTGTCTAGGAATTCCTACAGATAGTGCATATTTTCGACTATCAGGTTCTTTCTTAATGTTCGACCAAATACTTGTCACAATAAATTTTAGTCACATAATTAAAATAACATAAAATATAATAATAGAAATTAAAATAACATAAATTTCAAACGAAATAATGTTTTCTATTGAACTTGATCCTTGTTTTGATGGAACGAGAAGTTTCTCGAATCTTCCATGTTTAAAGGAAGAAAAAGGTTCTCGAAAAAGCCAAGTTTTGATGGAACAATAAGTTTTTTGAATCTTTCATCTACAAGGGAAAGCCCTAGGTTCTTGAGTGGAGGTGTGTCATTTGTCATATCAGCGCCACAAGTGATAAGAAGATGATGCCTTTTAAAAATAAGAAGTTTCTCAAGAAGGTCATGTTACTCGTGTTGAAGAAGGTTCATGAGAAAAATGGTTTTGATGGAGTAAGAAGTTTCTTAAGAAGGCCATGTTTAATGGAAGAAATATGAAAAATTTACTCATGATCTTGCAAGAGACATTCTTCATGTGATGTCCTTATGAAAGGCATCTCCTTATGGTGGCATAGCTTATAGCATCGATATTGGCATAAGGATCTCTAAGTTTCGTTCCAAGTTGTGCCACCAGAAGAGGAGCCCCTTGTAACACTCTTAACTCATATACGTACCCGTATACAAGTCAAAGATGTCACTTCAATCATACAAAACAAATATTGTTTGAAAATCGATAAAATTTTGTTTCTTTAAAAAAATCAACCAATATAATTAAAATAATAACAATAACTAGTCATTTTAATATTCATTTAAAACTAAAATAAAATATGATTTAATAAAATACTATTTATATCTAATAATATTCATTTAATAAACTAGCGTATATAGAGTTTAAATCGAAAGCAGTTCAGACATATCGAATTAGAGCATCAAAATATAAATATGTACATGTCAACTAAGAAATATCAAAATATCATAAAGATGTCATACTGATTCTTGTTGTCTGAACTATATTTCAAAATATGGGATGTTTGACCTGGCTCCTTACTTCTCTGTTGACTTCCCTTTATCTACGTGTGAAAGTTTTCTACTTAGTGAGGTAACATAATAAAATAAATAAAACTTTTAACATATAGATATCAACCTTGTGGTTCGTGGGATCGAGTCTCACGGTGGGCAATTCATAATTCTGACTGCCGGAGGTCTCCCACGGAAGCTGCTCTCAACCTAGCGTTGGGGGCAGCCTACTATCCTACCTCCCCTTATCCCATTACATATGGGAATATGGTCAGCTAATTTATATTATATAAAAAATATTATTAAAATTAAACATGTATAAATCCAATTGCGATCGATAAAATCATTTGCATATACTAGCAGTTATAAATTTAACTGTTAGTTCAAAACTCGTAATAAAAATTTTACTTAACAGTCTGACAGTCAACAGTACTGTGTCACATTAATTTTGTAATACTCTATTTCAATTCATATTATTGCCCACTGTATCATCATGAGAATATAAGATACGCGAGTTAATAAACGAGTGAACGCGCTATTTGCAGTTTTATTATTAGTAACAGTAATGTACATGTACTGTAAAAAACAACATCATTGTACCAGTAATCCTAGGGGTGTTCAAATAACCGAACTAATTCGGTTAACCGGCCGAACTGAATTAGTTCGGTTAATTCGGTCGACCACCAAATTAATTCGATTGGTTAACGGTTAAGAAAAAAATTTATAATTCGGTTAACGGTTAATTCGGTTCAAAATCGGTTAATTAACCGAATTAACCAAAATTAAATTTTAAATATTAAATATATTATATATAACATATGGGCTCAGCCCAAACCATTTAAAACTCAATTAATAATTTAAGATCCAATAACTTTTAAACCTAAATCAATATTAATTAAAAAATTTATATAAAATTTTTATTTTATAATTATATATTATTTAAATTAATTGTAAATTATTTTATTGAATTAAAAAATATTAAATATATTATATATAACATATGGGCTCAGCCCAAACCATTTAAAACCCAATTAACAATTTAAGATCCAATAACTTTTAAACCTAAATCAATATTAATTAATTAAAAATTTATCTAAAATTTTTATTTTATAATTATATATTATTTAAATTAATTATAAACTTTTTTTTGAATTAAAAATATTTAATTTTTATATAAATTAGAAAATTTCAAAAAATTTCGTTTAATTCGAAAATTAATCGAATTAACCGAAATTTATTTGGTTCGATTAATATTTTCGAAAAAAAGTTCGGTTCGATTAACGGTTAAAGAAAAAAAAATTCAGTTAATTCGATTAATGATAATTCGGTTCGATTTTAACCGAATGAACATCCATAAGTAATTCGATACAGATTTCACAATGTCACTACATTGTGAACCCACGGTGCACATATAGTAACAATATCAGTAATCAGTGAACAATAATCACTCCACCTCATGGCATGACATTTCTACCACTAACTCTCAATCTCATACAACGAGCGTAATTCAAAATCATAAATTGTTCTCTATATAAACATTCATATAATCGAATATAAATAAAACCCAGTATTGGGCAGTTCATATCGAAAATATTCACATGCTATAAACATAAAATATCATATAACATATGTGTACACAATATTTTGTCCGATTATATATTTTTATATAGTGTCAACACATATTTGTCGTCCATTTACATTATTAATGTGTTATTATTTATAATATACATATATTATATATTATATATTATAAAATGCTTTATTACCTCTAACTTAATTTTATTACACGTGACAGGCTTGTTTCAGTACAAAAATTACGGCCCGAATAAAAATATTACAAGCATGGCCCAAGTGACCCAAATCCAACAGTAACATGTGAACCGGTCTCCAAGCGCCCGAGTCAACCCAGGGCTAGGGTTCCAGAAAGCAGGTGTCGTTTCCCTTGAGGACTCTTCCTCACCCGTGTCCGAATTTCACGCAACAATCTCACCTTTCTCGGCCTCCAACCGACGTGCATATATCGGACTCAACCAGTAGAGTTCGATTAGGACTCAAATTAGACTAAAAATAACATTTTTTGTGTGTATAAATAAGCTCACAAATCAAACAAGTGACGGGGGATTCACACCGGAGATATACACGCAAAAATACTAAAAAAATACGAGGGAAAGTATTTCGAAACAGGGGGCATTCAAAATTAAAAAACACATAGTATTCGGAGGAGAAAAGCAAAAGAAAAGAGAAGGGTTACTCTTACCGATGATCATCGACCACTTCGAGGTTCATCGGAGTCAAAAGAAATCGAGTAGTTTTCCCTAGATCTACGATTCTAGGGACCCCTTTTGATTAAAAGAAGTTCATATCCATCATCAGTGTGAAGAAGCGCGTCGGATCGTGCTTTTCTCTCTCTCCTTTGGCGCCGACGAACGGCGGCAACAACCGGCACGGTGGAGCTCCATTTCTGTTGAAGCTCCAGAGAGCTTCTATTTTTTCCTCTCTGTGCGAAATGAAATGGGTTAAAACAAACGGAAGGGAGATGGGGTGAGGGTGGAGTTATTGTCATTGGTCTGGACACTATTCACGTAGGGGACAATACACTAATGCATGGGACCCATCTTTGTTGGTTATATTAAGACGCATAACTGCTCTTTCAATTCAAAATTAAAGGCAAAGCAGGAATTTAACCCACTATTAGGCATTTATGTTCTGTTTTTTATTATT